AGTAAGTACCAAGTCTGTGGTTGTTCAAAACAATAGATGCCTTTAAGAATGCAGGTGCATTTTCTATGGAAGGACCTCTTTAGAACTATCTAATATGGCAGGCATTAGCTACATATCAGTTTCAACAATTTTTTAAAAAGATTTATTTATTTATGGATACAAGAGCTGGGATACAGTCCAGAGCAAGTCTGGACTTGCTCTCGGGGTGAGGGGGTGTGGTGAGAAGATCCATCAGAGACAGAGTGGGGAACAGAACAGACAGACTGACTGAAATACACTGCTGAGGGGAGCAGCAGGTGAGACAGGAGAGGTCTGCCTCGCCATGTGGATATCTCCCTGGCCGGCCAGGGATCGAACTTGTGCTGCAGAGGCTGTGGATTTCTTCATAGTGCGGTGCTTAACCCCTTGCGCCACCAGGGAGGCCCTCAATTTCAATTAATTCAACTGAAATTCAGTTCCTGGGTCTTGCCAGCTGCACTTCAAGAGCCCAACAGCCACATGTGGCTAGAGGATGGCGTACTGGAAAGTGCAGGTGAAGATCACTTCCATTCCTGCCCAAGTTCTGCAGGACAGCACTGCCTAGCTCATCTCTGGCAGCTGCATTGGCTAACTTGTCCCCAGGGGACCCCCTTCATGGGGATATTCCTGTGAGCCCTCTGAAGGAAGAGGGAGGTGATGCCTCAGATGAGCCTCACCGCTGTGCTGGCTCTCAGGCTGTCTCAATCGGTGCCATCAGCCCACCTGGCCCTCCTCCAGGGAGGCATCACTTGAGAGTCTGGCTTTGTGAGCCAGTCCAAGTTATCTGGAACCTGTCCCAGAGCCTATCCAAGCCACACCCTAGAGGCTCCCTTCTCCTAATGCTTACAATACCCCATCTCAAAACAGAGATGAAGGGTAAAAATAAAGCATTCTCTTTAGGGCAGCTGTTAGGCTGATGCCTGTAATGAATCATTTGCATTTATGTAAATTACATGATTATGTAAATTACAGTAACATTTCAATAAAAGAAACTGGCAGGCCTGCTGGATGGAATTTGGAGAAAGGGTAGGCAGGGGAGTTGGAGCTGTCCATGGTCAAGTTTTTGGGTGGGAAGAAGCAGCAGCAGGGTCTGTAACAATTTCTAGACTACCTATTGGGCAGATACCACAGGAACATGTTCTAAAGAACCCAGAACACTCCCAGATTAAAAGGTGACACCACTTGGGCCACACCCAGCTTCTCCAGGGCCTGATGTTTCACTATAGAGAAGGTCACCAGGGCTTAGGGGAAGGTCATTGATAAATAAACTGTGTGCATTTGAAATTGTAATTGTTGTAGACAATAAATAATGGGTTCTTAATTCCTTCTGCTTTTCCTAAATATCAGCAACAGTAACAACAAACAAACTAGAAAATAGCACAGAGCAAATATTAGGTGAAAACCAAATACCAAAGTGAATCAAGTCCTTGTTTCTAAGTTAACTATTTTAATAGTAGGTTTCAGAATGTATGTGCTTTGTCTTCCTCCTATGCATCTGCAGTTTGGCCCTGTACATCTGCATCTGCTTCCATTTCAGCTGTTTCATGATTCAGGTTATAATGACTCTATTAGCATCTCCAGGTCAGTGGCCCTAAGCATCCCTGGAGAAGCTGTCTGTCCTGCCACTTGGATCCCCAGGCCCCACGATGATCCCCAGGATGGGGTTCCTCTGCTTAGGTTTAAAGGCCTCTTGCTGGGATATATATATAGAAGCACCATCTGGCCTCACTTAGTCTGGACTTGCTCTCTGGGTGAATGAACTTTTCATTGTATAACCCCCCAGGGACCAGAAGTTCTATCTTCTGAATGTTTCAGAACCACAAAATCTTAGCACTTAAAAATAAATTAATGGTATCAGATGGTTTCACTTATGTGTGGAATAGAGGGAAATCAAACAAAGGGTCAGGAGAAAGACAAAACTTGGAAGCTGACCATGACTCTGAGGCATCCAGCAGGGGAGGGGGAGGAAGAGGGGTTACCACATGGGAGGGGAGCACAAGGTACTGGGGTAATGAATCAGGGGTACTGTGGTGGTGGGAAAATGATGAGGACTACACCTGAAGGGAAATATCAAATGCTGTACAAAAATTAACAAAAATGTAAGAAAATAAATAAATTCAGTTAATTAAAAATTATTTGGGAAGGTTGGTAATTGGGACATGGAGGAAGGACTTCTCAATATGGTAATTTTAGGTGCTCACTGTCAGTCCTGTAGAGAAGCTTAGTATTACAGAAGGAAGATCAGAAGAAGAGGGATTTTGTTAGCAAGTCAGTAAGGGCAACATAGAAAGAGGAGAAAAGGAGACCTTGACAGATGTGAGCAGCAGCCTGGGCTGTGGCATGGAATAGACCCGGGGACACTGACAAACCTTTTCTAAGTGCTGGGCCTGGTTACAAGACTGTTTGACTCCTCATGTTGATTTTAAGCCTCATGGCAAAATGAGCCTGAGGATGAACAGCAGAGACCCACATAACCAATCTGCCATGATGCCTTTCCTCTGAGAATCTCAAAACTGACTCTAGAATGAATCACTGTCAGGCAACAGATGACTATCTCAAGGAAACAGGGTCCTCATAGTCAAGGCTGAGCTTCTCATGGTGCAGTCTAGTGCCATGAGCATAGGTCCCCTGGAGGCTGGCAGAAGATTCTGGCTCAAGAGCAATTTCTGAGCTTCTATACCAGAACCTATGAATTAAATCTCTGGTGCCACGTTTTAAGTTAGCACACTGAGTGTTTCCAGTGATGTTGCAGGAATACCAGTCTAAGTAAAAAACACCAAGACGAAACCCCGAGGACTCAAACTTTATCTTTTTCATTACAGCTTAACAGTAGAGAAATGTAATTTTTCTCAAAATCATAAAACTCTAGGCTTGCCATCTGGTCTGTAAATATACAATCCAAATCTTTAGGTAACAGCAAAGAATCATTTGCTTTTGCACTTTCCTGCCTTCTGAGGGAAATCCAGAGCTGCCAGCTCCTGTGTGTTGGGCTGGCTCAGCTCTGCGATTTATCCAGTGCACACACGGGGGTGGAGGAGGGTGAAAGTGGAGGGGAGTAAGGCAAGTGGGTGGTAGCTGCCCCCAGAGACAGGGGTCCGGGGAGTGTCCCTGTAGCCCGAGGAAGCAAAATCGCTTTACTGTTTCACACATCATTAGCAACAGTTACATTTATTCTATCTTGGACATGTCCAGATAAATTTGGGAGAAGATGAGTTATTTCACACGTCATCCAGGAGGTGTCTATGTTGAGAACAGAATGAAGCTGAAGACAGAGAAAGAAGCTGCCCCGGGCAAATTTGCTGTTGGCAGTGGACGTCCCAGGGCTGCGGGCATCCTGGCCCAGTGCTGACTGTCTTGTGTCTTTACGAGAGTGGCTGTCTCAGGAATTCTCAGGGTTCTGTTTATTTCCACTGTCTTTTTTGAGAAAAGTAACTTTCAAAAATCATCCTAAAAATGCCCTAAAGGCAGAAAATCTGAGTGCAGGGAGTAGCAGGTCTGTACGTGGCAGGACAAAGCTAACTGCACACAGCATTTGAGAATCTGACCTGAGGGAAGCAGAAGAGTCTTCAAGGTTTGGGTTGAGAACTCCTTTCCCAAAGATGACACGGAGTCCAAGACCACCAAAGTCATGTGTCCTTGAGTCTACTAACCAGAACTTTAACAGATGTAGCATGTCTTCAGTCCCAATGGGGTATAGCTGAATGCTCTGCAACTTGGGGTGCAGCCTGACCCTCCTGATTACCAATGGCCCCTTGAATGAAGGGACTGTGGTTGCAAACCCAAACTCTTCACTCTAGGGAACTGTTGCTGGTTGAAGAATCTACCTGCCCCCTTGTGGAAATTCTCATATCAAACATGCACTTTAGCTTATTTGTAGAGATTTGTAAGTAGATAATCTACAGGTAAGTGGTTTATGAACAGGTGAGTAGAGCCTTTAGGGGGTAAATCCTTTTTGGTAGGTAGGAAAACTAAGACCTGGAGAGGCTGATTTCTCCAAGGCAACCTGTTAGACCCAGGAAGGATGGTGAGGGCCCAAAATCAGTTCTCCCAACTCCCATGTCAGTCTTCTTTCCAATTTGCCACTCTTCTCCTGGACAGCTTGCCTTGCCAGCTTAAGGGATTTGGGTTTGTCCCTACAGATGGCATGGATCCGCTAAACGAGGGGCTCCAGGGGTGAGTGGGAACCTGGAGGAGAGGAGTCAGTGACAATGATGCCATACTGACCTGCGATGTATTGCATCGATTCAGACCAGAGGGCTAGAAAGTCTCAGGTGAAGTGGGCTCTGTAGGGTGCATTGGGGGGATTTTTTTATGAGATGAAAATCTCCAGAACAATTAAGTCAGATGAGGATGGTGGGAGTTGGGGAAAAGCCAGTTCAATATCATTCCCAGGGTAGAGCCGCAAGACTGGCATAGGGGCTGAAATACAGAAAGAGTGTTCACTTTGGGGAAAATCATTCAAGTTTAGAGACATGTTGAGGTTGGGACATGAATCTGTCTCTGCAGAGTTGTTTATCTGACATGTCCAAGACCTCAGGGAGATAACACTGCTAAGAATACAATGAGAGGTTCTGTACAGGGGTAATCATGGCAACGGGGGGCTTTAGGAGAGGCAGGCGTCTCCTGGGAGAGCATGTCTAGTGAGAAGGGGGAGAAGTAAAGGCTAATACCAGGACACTGACCGGAAGGGAGTTACAGGGGAGCCTGTGGGGAGAGGGGGGAATCACAGAAACACAGCGTGGGACTCTGTTGGAACCAGCTAACCAGAGTGTGAACTGTTCTGAGCACCAGTTCTGGGACTGGGGTTCTGTGTCATCAGAGTTGCTGGAGGAAAGAAAATCGCCCCGTGCTTCGACACCCATTCGCTCAATCAAGCAGAGTCCTTGAATTCCGTATGTCCTTGCATGACCCCGACTGGAGAGAAGGACCATTGAGGGTTAAGTGGAAAGAGAATTCAGGTGAGGCGTCCATCACACACTTACCACGATGAGTGCGACCACGGACAGCGTGTAGTAAATGGAGTCCCGCAGCAGGCACCAGGAGGAAAGAGCCACAACCTGGAGGGACAGGGGAGGGGAGACAGTCAGACACAGGAATCACACTGGACAGAGGAGGAAGCACGGCTCTGGCACCACCTAGTGTTTCCATCTCCTGTCCTTAACGGTGTCAGCCAGCTAGCTGAAATTAACTTATTGGAGGTCCTTTGATGGATGAGTCTAGATCCTTTGAAAAGCAGGTGCCAGGATGGGATTAAATCTCAACAGTTTTATTAGCGGAGGCACCATGAGTGAAAATGGGGGAGGCCGAAGAGATTGGAAGGACCTCTTCAACATGACCAGGGCCTGACCCCAGGGAAGGAGAGAGTGAAGTTGGGTGGATGCCTCCTGGCCTGCTGGGCAGCCTGAAGAAGTGTTCAGCAAGACTGAAGGGACCTTGGGTGTCCTATTGCCACGGGAGTCCTGAGTCCCAGGAATGGGCCAGCCTCAGCACCACTAATGTCAAAGGAATATGAGGAGCCTGTCCTTGTGGAGCAAGCCCCAGAGCAGGGCAGCTGTTGTTTATCAGAAGAGGCATGGACAAGCAAGGGAATTTAGACCCCTCCTGACCCTGCTCTTTCATCTCTATTATAGGACTGACCTTGTCTGCATGTGAACCCTGGTTTAATCAGAATTTTTAGAAGACTGATTTGCATATTGATCTGGAGAAAATGTCCTTAGCAAGCCAGAGAAATCCCTTTAAAGATATGAAGGCTCTGTTGAGCCTAGGCAGTTGGTATCCTGCCAGAGACATGGCCAGCCTTGGCCTGTTATGTTCAGACTTCCTGCAGTAGAAATTGGCCTCTAGGTATGATGAAGGAGGGGGCCTGGGCTGGGCATTGTGTGGAGTGATGGTGGAGATGGGGAGGAGCTGTGGCTGCCAGGATAAGACCCCTGTTCTGGAGGAATAGTCATTTCTCCTTAGCAAGACCTTCAAAGCCTTTCAAAGTGGGGATATTGGGTAAAAGGGGTCAATTGTATGGATGGAAATAGGACTTTTGGTGAAAGCATAATGGAGCATATACAGATGCTCATATATGTCTGTCCACCTGAAACCTATGCAATGTTACAAACGAATGTTGCATCAACTAAAAGAAGAAAAAAAATTTAACAAGTGTCCCAAATCTCTGTCTCTGAGGGATTCTAGGTATGTTTTCTTTGTTTTGCAGAGTAGGTTCATGTTGGCAGAGCTTCACAAAGAAGTCAGGGAGAGTTTGTAGTGTTGTGTTGGGGTGGTTCCTGGGCTTCACAAGTCCTGCCTATCTGCAAGAGTGTGGACTACCCCACAGCCACAGGACACAGATGTCTGCCTTTGCCCTTGACCTTGTAAGTGAAAGAGGACACAGTACATGTCCACTCTCAGCTGGGCCAGTGACAGGCATATGCTGCACCAAAGACAATAGAAGAGAGGATTCCAGGACAAGGTATCCTTGGTGCCTCTTCTCTCCCTGTGTCAGTCTATAAAGAAAAGATCAGGCAAAGTCAAACCACACTGGATTCAAATAACATGAAAGATATGACTTAAATAGAACCATAAATGAATAATGAGGCCAGTCTCTTTCCATTAACACATTCTTCCACTCGTTATATGGACACTTAGGTATTTTCCATTGCTAATTTTCCCTTATTAGGATTTTTTTTTTAACAATTTTTCTTTGTAGCTTTTTTTTTTTTAAGATTTATTTATTTATACAAGAGCTGGGGTATAGGCCAGAGGCACGGGAGGGTGAGAGAATTCACCAAAGACAGAGTGGGGAGCAAAACAGCAGACAACTGAAAGCACTGCTGAGGGGAGCAGCAGGCAAGACAGAAGAGGTGTGCTGCGCCATGTGGGTATCTCCCTGGCTGGCCAGGGATCAAACTGGCACTGCAGAGGCTGTGGACAGCTTCATAGTGCTGCGCTTAACCCGCTGTGCCACCTGGGAGGCTCTTATTAGGATTTGTATTTGCAGGTTTAAGTTACAGACAATGAGGCTGGCAAGAGAGGGCTTATTCCAAAAAAAAATCACATTAAGACAAATATCCTTTACTGTTTTATCTTGTTCTTCTTGTAATCTCAAATCTTAGAATCCATGGTCACTACTCACCTACTGTAGCATGGATTAAATTGGACTAGACTGTTCATTATCCAAGAGGTCAAAAGGTTGTGAATATTTACTCAATTTATTATAATTAAGCAAATGGACTTAAAAATTGTGTCAATTATCAATTGTGAATTTCCTTAAAAATATCACTTGGGTTTTTAGTTAAAGGTGACAGACTGAACATACACCATTATTTTTGCTCTTTCTTGTTATTCTATAACTTGATAATAGTAAAGAGATTTTAAAAAGACAAAAACCCACAAAGAAGAGAATAGAAGAGTTTATCAGAGCAATAAAATTTTCAAATCAGGAAAGCAGGTCATTTAGCTGGCAGTGGCAAAACTCTAGAAGTGGGGGTGAAGGCAGATCTAAAAACAGGATGACTGAAAAATAGTTCAAGGACTTAATCCACAAATGTCCTGTCACTTCAAGCATATCCCTCACTTTAACAGAAAAAAGGAAACCTGGCATTTGAAGAACATAATTTCTAGAAAACAAAGAAGAAATGATCCAAAAAAATAATTTAAGGAAGAATTCCCAGAAGTTAAGGATGCACATTTTTAGAGCAAGTGTCTAGTACACTAAGTGTCTAGTACAATGGACAAAGAAAGATATACACAAAGGCATATGATTATGAAATTAGGATTTCAGAATCCTGGGACAAGAATTGACCTCTTGGAAAATTAACATTCTAGTCCAATGTAATCCATTCTACAGTTGGTGAGTAGTGACCCTGGGTTTCTAGAAAAGATCCTAGAAATTACCAGAGAGAGTAACAGGTTTATATACAAAGGTTCCAAACCAGACAAATTATTTCTCAACAAAAGCACTGAAAGCTAGAAGAAAATGCAGTCATGCCTTCAACATTAGAGGAAAATGACTTCAACCCAGAATTCTATGCCCAGCCAAATCATTCATTTAAAGTGAAAGAAGAATAAAAATAAAAATTTCATTGTCTCCAAAAATTTTACTTCATATGCACCTTTTGCAAAAAATTACTGGAGGATGTGTTCCATCAAATGAAGGGAGTAAACAATACACTTGTTATATGAAATTACAGTACAGCAAATCATCATACCAAGCAACCAGATTTTATAATTGATCAAGGAAGTTTCTGGAATGCTAGTAGATTAAGATTCTATAAGGATTCCAAAATAAAACATTTGCCACAGGCTTACACAGCAACCTAACCAGACTGGAGCACATCAAAAGACCCCAGAGAAAACGACGGCAAAAGGACAAAACAAATGGAATATCTGATCATTCAAGCCCACACAAAAGAGATTAGAAAGCTCTGGGGACAGGACATAGAAAACTAAGCAAATGAACAACAACAAGAAGACAATTATATACACAGAGAAAACACAGTTGTACTGAAAAGGAGGATGAATCACCATGTACTAATGACTCAGCTATGAATAGCCATCACAATGTCATAATAAATGAAGCACAGACTAAGCATGGACTACCATCTAACCAAACTTATGCTACAGTTTTTTGGGGAGGGTGGTGGGAAGGGGATGGGTAGTAGGGGTGGAGAGGGCTGGATGACACCTAAATCCTTCTCTTCCAAACTGAAGTCAATGGAGAATGCCTGAAATGGAAACATCAAGTATTTGCCATCTGAGAACATTATTTAGAGATACTGAACAAATATCAGGAAAATCAAATGAGAGCAAAGTAGTTGTCACAGGTGAATGGGAAATTGGTGCTGGGGGAAGAAGGTCATCTTTCATCACATGCCTTCTGAATTGGATGATTTCTTTAAGCTCTGTGCATCTATAAGTTTCATAAATATTAAGAAATTAAGCAAGCATAATCCAAATGATTTCTTAGCTTTATTGCAATTTTCAATATCTGGATTATCACCAAATTCCAGCCCAGATTCAAAGTCTACACTTAGCAGAGCAATTTTTTTTTCTATAAAAGTGATGAACTTTTGAACAAGTAGGACAAGTAAGAAGGAGTCAAATGGAGAATGATTTCTTTCCACTTTCTAGAATGAATTAAAACATTGTTGATGATTCTGTAGTATTTATAGTGGAAGCTATGACCATAGCGTCATGTCCCCTCTGCCTTACCTTTCTGTGACCACCATTCACCACAGAGCAAACATTAATGACTTTCTTACAAATAAAAGGATTTGGGAGAGTTATCTCATTCAGTCCCACAGCAACCAAATGTGGTGAACAACATCATCATTTGCCTCATTTGCCAACAATCTGGGTCTGACCAAGTTGAAGGATTGGACCAAGATTGTACAACTAGCAGGGGAAGGGCTAGGATCTGAACCTAGGAAGTCTGAGTCTTAAACCCCTGTCTCCATACACTGTGCTACAGCCTCACTGGGGGCAAGGATGAGAAGCAGATACCCATTTGCAGTTGCCTCTCGTGGGGATTTTCTTCTGTTCACGACTTTAAGCCATTAGGCAGGTTGGAGATGGTAACTAAAGGAGGGGATACTTTTCCTCCTGCTCCCCCCTACCCCCGAGGGCCGCTCCGGCTGCACCGCGCTAGCTCCAAGCTCCGGGCTCCTGCTAAGCTAGCGCCACCGTCCTCTCCCTCAAGCCACCATCATGATTATCTGCCAGGACCTCATCAGCCATGATGAGATGTTCTCCGACATGTACAAAATCCGGGAGATCGCGGACGGGCTGTGCCTGGAGGTGGAGGGGAAGCTGGTCAGCAGGACAGAGGGTAACATTGATGACTCGCTCATTGGTGGAAATGCCTCCGCTGAAGGCCCCGAGGGTGAAGGTACCGAAAGCACAGTCATCACTGGTGTTGATATTGTCATGAACCATCACTTGCAGGAAACCAGCTTCACAAAGAAGCCTACAAGAAGTACATCAAAGATTATATGAAATCAATTAAAGGCAAACTTGAAGAACAGAGGCCAGAAAGAGTAAAACCTTTTATGACAGGAGCTGCAGAACA